TGCAGCTCAGTGCTTTGTGTCCACCTAGAGGGGTGAGATAGGGAGGGTGGGAGGGAGATGCAAGAGGGAGGAGATATGGGGATATATGTATTTGTATAGCTGATTCACTTCGTTATACAGCAGAAACTAAGACACCATTGTAAAGCAATCAAACTCCAATAAAGATGTTTTTTTTAAAAAAAAGAAAATTCACTCTGGCAGAAGCTAAAATTTGATACAATTACATTTAATACAGATAAATCACAATTAATAAAGCCTGTGTTGTTAAAAAAAAAAACATGTAAGTACATATTCACCTTATATTCAGGATATTTGCTTTCTCTTATAAATATCTGTCAGTTTTATTTTCTAATCATCTTTCCTTTCTCCACTGATCTGATGTTATCTTTATTATAAACTAAATACATACATTTGAGTTTGTAAAATAATCACAAAATGAGAAATACAGACACTTGAAAATGTTTAGAGAAAACTGTGTAACTCTGTGCTGATAAATGTGAAACTATAAGTGAAATAAACAATTTTCTATGAAATAAAAAGGTGCTCAGTGAACTCAGGAGAAGAATGAATGAACACAGTGAGCAGTTAGAAGTTTCTAACAAATAGTTTAAAAATATAAAGAAGTAAACAGAGCTGAAGAAGATAATAACTGAAATAAAAAATACACTAGAAGGAATTAACAGTAGAGTATATGATACAGAGGAACAGATGGGTGAACTGGATGACAGAGTAGAAGAAATCACCCAAACTGAACAAAAAAAGAAAAAAAGAGTTTTTTTTAAAAAGAGGACAGTTTAAGAGACCTCTGGGACAACATCAAGCATAATAACATTCAAAATATAGGAGTCTCAGAAGGAGGAAATAGAGAGAAAAGGGCAGAGGAGTTATTTGGAGAAATAATAGCTGAAAACTTTCCTGACCATGGAAAGGAAGTAGACGTGCAGTTCCAGGCAGCACAGAGAGTTCCAAAGAAAATGAATCCAAAGAAGTCCACACCAAGACACATTGTAATTAAAATGGCAAAAATTAAAGATAAAGAAAGAATCTTAAAAGAAGCAAGGTAAAAGCAACCAGTAGCATACAGGGGAACTCCCATAAGGCTATCAATTGACTTTTCAGCAGCAACTTTGTGAGCAGAAGGGATTGGCACAATTGATTCAAATTGATGAACATACCAACCAAGAATACTCTACTCAGCAAGGCTATCATTCCAATTTGAAAGAGAGATAAAGTTTTACAGACAAGCAAAAGCTACAGAATTCAGCACCACTAACCAGCTTTACAAGAGATATTAAAGGGACTTTTCTAAGTGGAAAGGACTACAACTAGAAATAGGAAAACTGTGCAAAGAAAAATCTGATTCGTAAAGACAAACATACAGTAAAATAGATCATCCACTTATAAAGCTAGTAGGAAGGTTAAAAGACAAAAGTAGTAAAAACATCTATTTCCACAACAAGTATTTAAGGGATACACTCCACAAAAAGATATAAAATGTATCAAAAACATTAAACATGGCAGGGGATTTTAAAAATGCAGGGTTGTCAGAATGGTTTGATCTTAAGGGATCATCAACTTAAAATCATATATGAATGAATTTAAAATATATATTATTTATTATATATATATCTTTATAAATATAGTTATATATGAACCTCATTGTAACCACAAACCAAAAATCTGTAATAGATATGCAAAAAAGAAAAAGGAATCTAAACACCAAATTATAAACTCTAGCACTAAAGATAGTCATCCATTAGATCACAAGGATACAGAGCAAAAAAAAGGAAGAAGAAAGAACCACGGAAAGAACCAGAAAACAATAAACAAAATGACAGTAAGTACATACATATCAATAATTATTTTAAATGTATTGGACTAAATGCTCCAATCAAAAGACTTAGAGTGACTGAATGGATACAGAAAGAAGAACTATATATATGCTTCCTAGAAGAAACTCATTTTAGATCTAAAGACACAGAGATAGAAGGTGAGAGTATGGAAAGAAGTTTTCCATGCAAATGGAAACAAAAAGAAAGCTGGGGTAGCAATTCTTATATCAGACAAAATAGAGTTTAAAACAAAAACTGTTACAAGAGACAGAGAAGGACATTACATAATGATAATGGGATCAATCCAACAATATATAATAATTGTAAATATTTATGTCCCAACTTAGGAGCACCTAAATATGTAAATCAAATATAAGTAGCCATAAAGGGAGAAATTGTGTTGAGTTACACAATAATAATATGGGACTTTAACACCCAACTTACATCAATGGAAGATCATGCATCCAGACAGAAAATCAATAAGGAAACACTAGCCTTACATCAGATAGACTTTATTTATATGTACATCTATGTATATATATGTATGTATAAAACATTCCATCCCAAAAGCAACAGAATAAACATTCAACTACATATAGAACATTTTCCAGGATAGAGCACATACTAGGCCACAAAATAAGTCTCAGTAAATTTAAGAATATTGAAATTATATTAAACATCTTTTACAATCACAATGCTATGAGACTAGAAATAAACTACAATGAAAAAACTACCAAAAAAAAAAAAAAAACAATGGAGGCTAAGCAGTATGCTACTAAACAACCATTGGGTCACTGAAGAAATCAAACAAGAAGTCAAAAAATACCTGGAGTCAAATTAAAATAGAAATAGAATGGTGGAAAAGCTTTGGGAAGCAGGAAAAGCTGTTCTCAGAGGGAAGTTTCTAGCAATATAGGCCTACCTAAGGAAGTAAGAAAAATCTCAAATAAGCAATCTAACCTTACACCTAGAGGAACTAGAAAAAGAACTAATAAAACCCCCAAAGTTAGTAGAAGAAAAGGATCAGAGCAGAAATAAATGTAATAGAGACTTTAAAAAAATAGAGAAAATCAGTGAAACTAAGCTCTGGTTCCTTGAAAAAATAAACAAAATTGATAAACCTTTAGCCAGAGTCATTAAGAAAAAGAAAGGACCCAAATAAAATCAGAAATGAAAGAGAAGTTACAGATTCATATTTCTGTACTGACAATACAGAAATATGAAAGATCATAAGACATTACTGTGAACAGTTATACACCAATAAAATGGAGAACCAAGAAGAAACAGATAAATACCTAGAGATGTACAATCTAGGTACAAGACAAGGATGCCCGCTCTTACCACTTTTATTCAACATAGTATTGGAAGACCTAGCCACAGCTATCAGACAAGAAAAAGAAATAAAAGGTATCCAAATCAGAAGGGAAGAGGTAAAATGTCTACTATACATAGAAAATCCTAAAGATGCCACCAGAAAACTACTAGAGCTCATTAATGAATTCAATAAAGTTTTAGGGTACAAAGTTAACATACAGGAATCTGTTGCATTTCTATACACTAACAATGAAGTATCAGAAAGATAAATTAAGGAAACAACCTCAATTTACCTTCACATCAAAGAGAATAAAATAGCTAGGAATAAACCTACCTAAAGAGGCACAAGACCTGTGTGCCAAAAACTATAAGACATTGATGAAAGCCATCCAAGCACTAAATTCCAAAAGTTAAAGTTTGGAGAGATGAAAATTCCACTGAGACTGAGAAGGATAGAAATACTGTACAGAATAGTTTAAAAAAAAAATTCCAGAAGAGAATAAGCAATAGGTGACATTTACATTTTACAGATTGGGAAACTGAGGCCAAAAGAGGTTAAGGAACTTGTCCAAAGTCACATAGCTAATGAAATGAGTTACTGGTTTCAAATTCAGGCAGTTTGGGTATAGGCAATATGCCTGTAACTATTAAGGGTTCTTTTTTTTTGTTTAGTTTTTGTGTTTTTTTAATTGAAGTATAGTTGCTGTACATTATTATATAAGTTACAGATGTACAATATAGTGTTTCACAATATTTAAAAGTTATACTCCATTTATAGTTATGATAAAATATTGCCTATATTCCCTGTGTTGTACAACATATCTTCTTAGCTTATTTTATATCTAATAATTTGTACTTCTTAATCCAGTATCCCTATACTGCCTTTCCCCTCTCCCCTTGCCCCACTGGTACCTGAGGTTATTGTCTTGTGACTTATTTGATGAACTTCGTTTTCAATAAATATGTTTTAAGATTTAAGATTGCGTTTTTCTAGTTTCAATGGAGATTGTAGTATTAATAGATAATTCTGTTTAAATTATTTTAGAGAGATGGATGCAATTCCTTTGGGAAATTTTTACTTTGAGGTGTGTTTATTATAAATAATGTTTTCTGGTTATAATTATATAAATTCAGTGTTTCTAAGTTTTTCTGATATTAAAAAACATTTTTCCTTCTAGGAGTACATCATTTTGACATAAACACCTAATCAGTCTTTTAAGTTGAACCTTTCTATGCCTTTTTTTTTTTTTGGTGTAATTTCAAAGCATGAAATACTTGTAATTTACTTTAATGTAAGGTTCAAGTTGAATTTAAGGCTTTCAGAGTTATGGTCAAGCTTATGTAAGAAAGTGCTGGCAAGTAAATCCTCTAGTCTTGATTTCATAACCATCAAGAATTTTATTCTATGCTTTATAAACTGGAATGAGTGAGAAATCAGATGAGTTTTGTGAAACACAATGAAGAAATTAACAATAATCTACAAGATTTAAAATTCCCTTTCTATTTAAGTAACTAGATGAAATTATCATATTTAAAATTTTTTATGAATGACTTGTCAATTAATAAGGTATAATTTCAGAATTTTACCTCTTTAAAAAATTAAAATCTTCCTAGGACAAACTGAATTATGTATGTTTGAATTAATTATGACAAATTTAATTCATTCACAATCGTGATATATTTTTTCTTATAGCACATTATTTAATGGTTTTAAAACACTTCTAAATTTAGAGGTTGACTTAAAAATGATTTTTGTGTAAATAGTGATTTTTTGACCCAAATGTTTATTTAGTTGACCTGAAACAGTAATTACTATTACCAAAATTAGATTATTGTTAACTGTTTGTTCCAAAGGTTGCACAGTGAATTAAAAGATACTGTTGAAAAGCAATTGGAAGCCATTCCCTTTGGCACAGAGATGGGAAATGAGATATGTACAGATGATGAAACAGTCAGGAATCTTCAAGAACAACTACAACTGGCCAATCAAGTGAGTGATATATGTATTGAATTATGTCCTAAATAAACAGAGTTTCTAAAAAATCTATAGTCAATCATTATTTATGAATGATAATAACAGAATATTGAAATTGTTAGCATAATGATTTTCTACAGTTTGCAAAATAGTTAACAGGTAACAAAGCTTATAATATGTGCCCTCCCTGTATGTTATAAATGTAGTTGCCATGTATATATTTTAACTGAATCATAATTCTTTTGGCATGATTTTTTAAGTGTTATAAAATATTTTAATGCCAAAGAAAATTTTTAAAGAAAAGAATCAATTATCCACTTGCCTAAATTTACATTTTTCATTTTCCTGTGTTTTGTTTTGATACTGTTTTCTTCAATTTTCAAAGATTATAGAATTATATTTTTCTAAAGTTATGCTTCTTTTAGAATTATACTTTTTCTCCTTTTTTCCTCCTTCATGGTAATTGAAATATTTGAGAAGCTATATTGTATATATCCTGTTTTCAGCACCACAATTTTTTTTGGTTATATGTAAGGGAATTTTATTTTAATTTACAATTTTGCATCCTAGGTATCTCATATCTTTTATGGATTTTAATCCCATTCTTCTACCTTCCTGTGTGCCTCAGTTTCTTCATTTTATAAATGGGGATTAGAAATACTTTATTACAATTTTGATTTTATAGTTATCTATGAAAAGTCATTTTTTTATTCCTTGTAAATTTGGTTTTGGAATTCTTTGCTTTTGAAAGTGATATTTTAAGTTAATCGGATAGGTTGAATCTACCTTGATAAGGAGCATTATGTAGCACTGAACTCTTTTTAATGTGCAAAGGGAAGGAATTTGAAAAATAATAGAGGCAAAAATAATGAGAAAAGCATGTTCTTTACTCTGTTCTAGACTAGTATTTCAGAAAGGATTTATTAATGTTGACATATAAATAAATGAAAATTACTGTAAACTTATAAATGCTTTCTAACAAGGTATTAAATATGTCCTTTGAAAGCTGTGGCAGAATGTGCATTTCTTATTACTCTTTAAAAATATTGTGACAGACCATATGTAAAAGTACACCTTCAATATAGACAATGATTATTTGTCAGTCATACCTCAATAAATCCAAAATTTGTTTAATTTATAAAAAGAAAAAAGAGTGCAAAACTAGATAGGATTCATTTTTTGTTTTCTTTTCTTTTTTTGAAACTACAAATCTTATGTCTTAAAAGCATCTCCCTGTAGTACTTTTGTTGCTATAATTTCTTTTTGTTGTTGTTGTTGCTATAATTTGTATTGCTAAATTTTGTTCTTTGTTTTTTTAAACCACACTTGTTCTCTCTTTTCTCACCTCTTTCTCCTCCTATCTTCTCCTGTCTTTGCCTTTCTCCATCTTCATCTTACTTGGTACATATTATTTTTCTGAAGATGGGGTCCTACCTTTTTGCTACATTTTGGATCATTACTTCACAGAAGCTTTGGTGAGGTACAAGTTTGACCAGTCAAAAATGAAAAAGGAGATTTGTTAAAAACAAATTTTGCCACAATATCTGCAATATATTTTGTATATTAAGTATGGAATTTTAACTGAGTGAGAGTTTTGGCAATTTTATAAAGTATGAATAATAGAAAAATGTTAATAAATCCATAAAATAGTAATGTCAGATGTTAATTCTGCTTATTACTTATTCATACATGTTTATTAAATTTATTATTAAGTTCTAGTAAAACATATACAATTGTTTTGGTATCCATCACTAGATTGAAAGCCCTTTGTGTCATGCGTGAAGATTAGGTGAATCCAAACTGAATAAATTTAAAACTCAATAAAATACAATTTATAGTAGAAAATTGAGAGAAAGAGGGAGAATTCTTTATTATATTATGCTTTATTAAAGTAATAAGTCTAGAGAATTTAACAGAAGATTCAAATACCTTCATCCATTCCACAGATATTTATTCGGTGTCTATTATATATGAGGCACTGTGCTTAGTATTTATCATATACAGTGCAGAATGTTGGCTCCTACTCTTGTGAAACACACAAGCTTTTGGAAGAAAAGTTTGGCCAAACTTCTTGAGTTTGGTCCCCATTCTACTTTGTAGCTCTATGATCTTGGGAAACTTCTTTGTGCTTCACCTTCTTCATTTATAAATGGAGATTATAATAATTCTTATTTTATGGAGTTCTTATGGTAATTAAAATTTTGAATCCCCATTAAGCACATAGGGTAATGCCTAGCACATGTGTGAGTTCATAAATCTACCTATTATTTTTATCATCTTTATCATTATTATTACTAAACAGCATGATAAAGCATTAAAATTAAAAATTAAAATTAGGTGCAAAAGGTTCTGTGTATCTCAAGTACAGTTGCTTTGGGAGCCAGTAGCACTAGTACAATATCAAGTACCTAACTAAATATTTTTAGTTTGGAGTATTTTGTTCTCCTATTATAGTGTGATTTGTAAAAATCTTTCTGGAGGGCAGTTTGGCAGTAAGAGCCCTAGAAATGTTCATATCCTTTAACCAATTAATTAGATGGTGACATCACATAGATTCTAGGAATCTGTCCTAAGAAACAGTATATAAAAATATATGAATAAATATATTCATTATAGTAATGTTTTGATAGTGAAAAATTGGAAGTAGTTTAAAAACCTAAAAATGTGGAATCACTTACATTGTGTTTTATCCAAATGATGCGTTATACATTAGTACAGTGGTTCTCAAATTTTGGTGTGTATCGTAATCACCCGAGGGCTTACTGAAATAAAGATTGTCACCCCCTCCCCCAGGTTTTTGATTCAAGAAGTCTAGGATATGGCTCAGTAATTTACATTTCTCACAGGTTCTAAGGTATTGATGCTAGTCCTTTGAGAACCACTGGCTTAGGAGAATCTGGGCTTTCTTTGTAGTCCAGATGACTCTTACCATCAGGCACATTTGGGAAACTGCAGTCTTTTGAGTTATGAGGCATTTTTATGACTATTCTATTGAAAAGAAAGCAGTCTTAAGGAAATAAAATGAATTGTACAGGGTCATTCAGCCAGAATTAGAAATCCAACCCAAATTCTGGCTCCAGATTCTGCTTTTGTCTACATATTTTTAAACTACATACATTTTAGGCAAAACTAATCAATAATTTTAAAAGTCAGGATAAAGGTTATTTTGGGAGGATTGTAGTATCTGTAAGAAAGGGGCAACTGGCTTCTAGCTGCTGGTAATCATGTTCTCTTTCTTGAACTGGGTGCGGGTTACATGGGTGCACTCACTGTACAAATTTATGATTTGTGTGTTTCTGAATGCATGTTATGCCTCAGAAATAGTTTCCTTAAAGCTTATAAGTGTATATTTATTTGAAATGTATACTCATTTTGTTCCAAAAATGCATATCTTTTCACTACACCTTCTTACCTACTTACTAAAACTGAGAGAATTAGCTCTGACCTGGGATTTAAAAGCTTGGGCTTTAGGGACAAAGAGATGAAGGTTTCTTCTTAATTCTGTCAACAGCTTGCTGAGGTAACTATACTTCAATTTTTAAAAAGTACATGCAAAAAAGAAAAAAAGAGAATAATGCTTTTTATATGCTAGCTTAAAGTTTCTCAACCGTTTTGGTTTCAGGACCCCACTTCAGTATGCTTAAAAATTATTGAGGACTCCAAAGAGGTTTTTTTTGTGTGGGGTATTTATCATATTACTAATTAAAACTAAGACATTTTTAGAAACAAATGGGAGCATAAGAGTGCATTTTAGTAGCCATCAGAGCAATGACAACATCACACAGTACATCATATAAACTTTGGAAAACTGTACTGTACACTCATGAGAGGATGATAGTGAAAAAGGCAAATAATGTCTTCATATTATTATGAACAAAATTTTTTCTTCAAGGGTCCCCATATCACTTTTGAGAATTACTATATTGAAAGAATAGTTAATGACCTGAAAAAATTCTCATTATAAAATTCCAGGTGAAAAATAGACAATACAAACAGCACACTATGTGTTTCCCAGTTTTTTTAAAGAAAAAAAAATACAGAATTCTCCCCCCCAATCACATTTATAAACAAGACTACATCCAACATTCATAAAGATGTTTATATCCAGATGTTAGCAGTATTTATTATCAGGTGCTAAAAAATATTAGGTAATTTTATTTTCTTCTCTATTTTTCTGTACTTTCCTAATTTTCTATGATAAACATTTATTACTTTAGCAGTCAGAAAAAAACCTCTTGTACTTTACCAGGGACAGTTTTCATCAGTAATTTCTATGGCTTACACTTTCTGAAACAAGAAAGTGATTGAAGGGTTTTAATTTTAGCTATTAAATCTGAATAAAAAGAAAATTTCAAAGTAAGGAATTTTCATCTTTAGGTTTATTCTCTAAATAATTTTTTAAATTAATTAATTAATTTATTTATTTTTGTCTGCGTTGGGTCTTCATTGCTGCACACGGGCTTTCTCTAGTTGCAGCGAGCGGGGCTACTCATCGTTGTGGTGCGTGGGCTTCTCATTGCAGTGGCCTCTCCCATTGCGGAGCACGGGCTCCAGGTGCACGGGCTTCAGTAGTTTTGGCTTGTGGGCTCTAGAGCGCAGGCTCAGTAGTTGTGGCGCATGGGCTTAGTTGCTCCGTGGCATGTGGGAACTTCCCGGACCAGGTCTCAAACCTGCGTCACCTGCATTGGCAGGCAGATTCTTAACCACTGTGCCACCAGGGAAGTCCCTCTAAATAATTTTATTTACAACTTTATATCATCAAAAATATTTCAACTATACGATCTTAGACAAGTTCTATTTTTATTTTGTGACTTTATATACAAGAACTCATTCTGTAAAAGAATATGATTTATTTGTACTATGCAGTAGCGTGCTGATAATTTAATGAGTTCTGAAATGTTCTTCTTTTATAGGAAAAAACTCAGGCTGTAGAACTCTGGCAGACTGTTTCTCAGGAGCTGGACAGACTACAGAAACTTTACCAGGAACATATGACTGAGGCCCAGATTCATGTAGTTGAAAGTCAAAAACAAAAGGTAATCTTGGATTTCATGGTTTTCTTGTATATCAGTAAGAAGTTGCATTCTGGAGAAACTCAGTTTTGGAGAAGAATGCCTAAGTCTCTACCGCGTTATTTATGTTGGCAGTAAATTGATCTTCAGTGGTTAGAAATCTTTTGAACACATAAGATAATCAAAACTGTGCCTAGTGTGCATAGGGTTTTATAATGTGATTAGCAACGATAGCTGTATTTAGTGCTAATAAGCAGCTCTAAGATTATTATGTGTAAATGGATCTCCAAAACTTTTATATTCTTGATTTTTTTACCTGGTTAAAAAAGACAAAGACTAATCATTAGACCATGGACAGTGAAGAAGCCTGCTCAAATGTGATGACAACACTTGGGAAATGAAAATGTTAACAACCTTAAATGTGACCTTTTTCTAAAATGTGAAATTTGTCTAACATAAATTAAGCAGAATAGGATTTTACAATAGGAAGGCTCTTAATGGTTATTAAGGACTTCTTTCTATCCAAAGCAAGAATCATTTTATATTCTTTTAAAGTGAACATATAGCTTTTGCTTTATACCTCTGTTGACAAGAACGTACTATCTCACAAGACCATCCATTCCATTGGAAAATCTACCTCCCTTATCTTTCCATTGATTCTTTTTCTGCTAGGTACATTGAAATCTATGGAGAAATTCCAATTCTGATTCCTTTGCTGTGGATTTTTGAGAAGGCAGCTGTCTAAATATACTGGTTATCATGCCTCTCTTCAACTCTCATTTATAGACTTTTCAAATTCCAGTTTATGACTGTTCCTATTATTATCACTGTAACTAGGAATTTCTACCTAAAGAAGTCATAATAATACTTAATGATGCTTTGCAGCTTACAAAATGATTTTTCTGTACATGCCCTGGTTTGAAAATAATTCACATGTAGTCTGTGCCGTAACACTTACCTCTGAGATCTGGAAACCGTTTCTAATATAAGTTTGTTCTTTTAAGGCTGTTTTTTCATTAGGTTAATCAACTAAGCCATTAGGTTTAGGGAATTTTTTTCCGCTTGAATAAGATCATTCTTATGCTATAGCTTTGCAATTAGGGTTTTTTTCTTTCCTTTTTTTTCTTTGGCTGTACCTCTCAGCAAGTGGGATCTTAGTTCCCCGACCAGGGATTGAACCCATGTCCCCTGTATTGGAAGGCGGATTCTTAACCCCTGGACCACCAGGGAAGTCCCTGCAGTTAGGGTTTTTTTGTGTTTGTTTGTTTGTTTGTTTTTGTATACAACTTAACAAATAATACTCTGTCCTTATTTCCCTAGTTATCCATCAATCTTGAAATCTGTCATCTGACATATGATGTTTAATCCGATCATAACAGATAATCAAAAAATTTAAAACTTGTGGGGCATTCAAGCCATGAGAATTTTAAAGAAGGAGGAAAGGCACAATAACTCCTGTGCTGTGGTTTGTACTGTAGGTTTTGAATAGGTTTGAATATTGTTTGTCAATATTGGGTAAGGTGTCTCTAGCATATCTATCTACTAATGGATTGATTTCTAGAAATAATGATTTCACATAAAACATAAATAGCTACATTAGTTTCCACATTGCCACCTTATTTAATTTTGTAATCATTAAAAATTTTTATCTTTTTATTTCTTCAACTGTTAATTCACACAGTACTTGTGAGAAGAAATACAATTGATGTCATCTAGATTTAGGCATAATGATTTTAGCCTTGATTTTAGTTTAATTTTAAGTATGGGTTGCAAACAAAATGCTATTTATGTATTCCCTCTTCCTACTACAGGATCAGCTGACCAATTTTCAACAACTGACCAAGCAACTTCATGTAACTAATGAGACCACAGAAATGGTAAGTGAAAATATCCATTTAATGCACTTGTTATATAAACTAGAAATTGTCACTATAAGTAATAATGTTTATTTTTGCTAAGGCAAATCAACAAGAAAAAAATACTTGAAATTAAAATAGGTGAGCAGTATTCTTTTCTTTTTATCTGTCTTTTTCTTTCACATTCAGCAGCATGACATGAGGGTTCACGCTGGTTTCCAGAGATTTAAAGCTAACATCTATCTGAAATATATCCTAATCCGAAAATACTCTTAAGAGTCCTTGGTAAGATTTCCTGAGAGTAATTTCGACTGTGAGCTCCTCAAGAGTAGGACTCATGCTTTGTTCTTAGTATTTCATCTAGAACATAGTTAGGTATACACTAAGAATGGTGGAACTTTTAGACAAATGGTAACCCAAATCCTTAAAAAAAATAGAACACTAAGAATCATTTGTTAGTTGATTGACCACCACTCACCTAAATTGCTACACCTAAATTTCCCTTTAATTTTCTCCCAAAAGAAATAAAATTAACCTTCTGAGATCTGCTCTTTATCTTTCTCCCCACCTCTCACTTTTATTTTCTTATTCTCTTCCTTTCCTTCTTGGAATTTTATTTCACCTCATTGTTGAATAATAGGATTATGACATCCCAGGTAATTTCCTCTCTTTCCTTTCTTCATTTTGCTTAGTTTCCCTGCTAATTCAGAATTAGCAGGGTAGTACCTAATAAAAATGTCTTTGTTTAAGAGTGGAGTTGTGCCATCAAAGGTAAGTTTATCCAATTTTATCGTACTTAAAAAAACTTTCTCCTTTAACATGTAAAAAATTATTAAATAAATTTCTCCCTATTTTACTTATGTTAACATTTGGAATTTCTAATCACTTATAATTTTTGATAATATACTTCTTAGAGTTTTAAAATAGTATTAAAGTACTCCAAAATAAAATGATGACTGACTTCCATAATTAAGAAATCCTGGGCTTCCCTGGTGGCACAGTGGTTGAGAGTCCGCCTGCCGATGCAGGGGACGCAGGGGACGCAGGTTCGTGCCCCGGTCCGGGAAGATCCCACATGCCGCGGAGCGGCTAGACCCGTGAGCCATGGCCGCTGAGCCTGCGCGTCCGGAGCCTGCGCTCCGCAACGGGAGAGGCCACACAGTGAGAGGCCCACGTACCGCAAAAAAAAAAAAGAAATCCCGTTTCTACATGACATTAATAGTTTAACCTACCATAACATTTGTTTATTCTTTTTTTCAGTATTTCCTAGAATTGTGCAGATTACATAATCCTTTGGTATTTTGTACCACAGGGCCCATATTTTATTATATACAGCCCCAAATCATTCTGATATAAGTCATAGAAAAACATTTGAATATTTACAGGACATACTTTAAAAATTTCTAAGGCATTCATAGTTTTAGGCCAAAACTAAGAATAATAAGCTATGGATACAATAAAAGTGATAAGAAAGTGACAAGTTGGATTAAGCATTGTGTTATAAAGAGCAAAGAAAAGACTACCCTGGTTGTTAAAATAGAGGAAATTGGCTAAGAGAAATTTTTAAGACTTGAGTTTTTCTTAATGTATCAATCGTTAAGGTATTAAACATGACTCTACTAAGTGTAAAGGAGGTTTAAGTGATAGTAAAGATTTTGTAAAGTCTCAAAGAGCATTCAGAGCATGGTCATAGGAGCAAGTTTGAGTCAAAATCAAATAATTTCCATTAAAAAGTTTTCTGATTACATGAATAAACTCATGAAATGAATAGGCTCCTATAGATGTACAATAAATTGATGAGTATATAACAAATAAATAAAATCTTTTATAACCAATGTACTTTAGTGACATGCAGAAGGTAAAATGCCCTGACCCGAATGGTACCTAAAAATACAACTTTATATTTATTTATCTTTATTGTAGATGCAATAAGAGTTTACATTTCCTAGAAATTCTCTTTACTGAAATCATATTTTTCTTGAGACTTACTCATCTCTATAAAGTAACTCAAAAATATTTGTTAATTGCATACTAAGTTCCTTCTACTGCTATAGTTTCTCTAGTTGCAAAAGAAATGTGTATCTATCCACAAAGCCCCTGTCTAGTTGGAAAAACAGAAATGACATATGAAATAATCGGTGAATAAGGCACTAAGATAGATGATTGAAAGGGATTCTCTGAACCTTTATGAATCTCCAGATTCTATAGTATAGGTATAGTATATAATTTTTTTGTGATCGTAAATACAGAGCATCATAAAGCCATATTCAGATGCAGTTGTTGAGCTCTTACTAGGCTTGCTAGCAAGTTATGTGTGTTTGTTCCCAACACCAGCTTCTTAAAATTCACGATTCTAATTTATACTTCTGCTAATTACTCTACATAATCTACCTTTAAGGTGCTCCCAAATAATAAAAATCACAAGCATTAATTATGCCAGTTCCAAGACTATATATAGTAAAACATGAATGGTACATTATAAACATTATAAAAGGGAATCAATTTGGTCTGAAGTCGTTGAGATAGCTTTACAGGAGAATTTGAAATGATATTAAAGATCATCCTTTCCCTCAAGTGATATAGGCATCCTTCTATTAAATGCTTTACAGTTTAGATGATCCTCTAGCCTCTGCTTTGAATATCTCCTGTAAGAGATCTTGTCATTTCCCCAAAGAGCCTGTTCCTTTGAACTCTGATTATTAGAAAGCTAAAATCTCTCTTACCAGGCTTCCTCCCACTGACATATGGTTTTATCTTTGGGAGTAACATAGAACAAGCTCAATTCTTTTTTAAGTCAACCCTTCAATTATTTGCATATAATCATATGTCTGTTGTAACTCATGCCCAGTGTTACAGTTTTTTGTTTTAACTTTTCAGGTGTGGTGTAATTTACCTACCTTTCATTATTGTATCCCTCTTTCTCTGCATGCCATAATTGGTCTCTTAAATTGTGGTCTGTGAATTGAATACTAAATTCTGTTCTGGAGTAGTTTACTTCCCGAGATAAAGATAAAGATGCAGTCCTCAGACTCTCTTTCATGTCTCAGTTAAGGCATTCATTCATTCACTCATTCATTCCTCAAAGGTATAAGTGCTTAGAATGTACTGAATCATGTGCTAGATGCTGGGAGTTCTGGGTGCAGCTGGTCTTCGAAAACAGGCACATGTTGTAGCCAGGAATATACGTAGACTTTAAACATAGTACTTAAGTACGGTGCAATGTGCATTGTAAAAGTATATGTAAAGTTTTATCAAAATGCAGAAAGGAAGCAATCAGTTTTGCCTTAGAGTGACCACACAGGTTATGCAGGGATGAATGCTGGCTGAATGAGGACATCCCAAGTAGAGGGAAATAGAAAAGTGTATTAAAAATATGAAGTTGGGGTAAAACCAGCACTTAGAGAAGATAATCAATTCCCTTAGAAAATTTTATTCTACAGTTGGAAGACTGCTTCATAACTTACTTTAGCATTAGCAGACCCGGAGGAAAGGGTTCCAGAGCATGTCATTTATTTGGGAGATAATACCATGAAAAACCAGTAGGGGAGTGGAGAAACAAGACTAGGAAGGGAAGAGAAGGTAGCCAATAACGGATTTTTAACAATCAAGCAAATTAACACTGTGGGTAACTGAAACTTAATCCCACTGCTGAACTGTGGAAGCCAGTAAAGAAACAGCCTCAGTTATTCCACCACAGGGCATGGGAGTTGGGGATTTTTACCCACCAATTCCATTCGGTCATTGTTTTGGGGCTCTTACAGAACAGGCTGGGGGCATGAATTCTACACCACCTATATAGCCTTCTGCATAGTTTGGTGAGCAAAGGAGGCTCAGAAGGTCAGAAAAAGCCAGAGGATACAGAAATGCAAATGCAGGTAGTTTGAAGTGAAGCAGGTGTCCACTGAAGTAGTGAAGGCACAGAAGGATGGCCAGGGTTATATTTTATCATTAAAAAATCTAATTATTATCATGACTTCATTTCATTTATTTCTACTCATATACCCTGTAGTTAGTCTTTAAAGATACAGTTTTAAATGTTCTGATACTGAATGTTTCTATTTTTTTTCTTTTCGCAGACTAATCAACACTTTTTGAAAACAGTAACTGAACAAAATGTGGAAATCGAGCAACTCCGAAAACAACTTAGGTATTTTCAAAAATGATTTTTGTTATTTTATTAATAATTACTTTTCTTCAGGGGAAGCACTGGTGTCATAATTTTTCCCGTGAGTGTTTTTATTTTTTCCTCCCTTTTAAGCTGCTGTCAGTAGCTTCTTGTGTGCATGATCTTTTGGGACAAGAAGAAACTGAAATCAAGACTATCAGTCAGGCAACAACTGTAATACATATATGTGAAGGGCTGTTCCATGATGGCAAAACTAGTGCTTATGGAAGAAAGTCAGTCCTCTTCCTGGGACTTCTGGGAACCAAGCCAGCCCCTCCATCAGCCCCCAGGGCCTTGCCTTCTGAACACCCCAGGGCCCATTGGCCTCTGGACACTGTCTTCCCACCAGAGCCCCGCCCACCTCCGGGGGCTGTCTGTAATGGCCCACAGATCCCCAATTCCCGGATCCCTTCTTCCCCACCGCCAGGCAGGGGCAGAATAAATGTTTATACGGATTTTAGAGCTCAAAAAAAAAAAAAAAGAGAGAAAGAAAATCAGTCCTCTTAAAAAATGTTTCTACACATATCTTTCTTTGTATTCTCCCATAAGCAGACCCTAAGAGTTTGAAAGCACGTAGTTTATTTAGAGGTAATACCAGTAGAGGTAATACCAGGAGAGGAGTGGGGAAGTGAGATAGGGAAGGGGAGGAGAAGGCAGCCAATAAGGGGTTTTTAAAAACCAGGCAACTTAATACCGTATGTCTATATTATGGTCCAGTGGTTTAAAAATCATTGCATCAATAGACTTCACGGGAAAAACTCTAAATGACAAAAAAAACATTTTTTCACATTTCATTCCCCTTAGTCATAATACTTAAAATTCAGAAGCTTAGTCATATAAGGTTTTTTGCTGTGATTCTGTCATGTAGAAATATCTTTAAATTGTAATGTAAATTTATATTTTACAAAACTTGTAAGTTACTGTTTGTTAAATGAACCTTGCTATTTATTTTTCCCACCATCATGTATTTTGCCCTGCAAATGCATTATATTGGTTTTGTTTTGAAGGAAAACTTATTTCACGAAATTATTTTTTATTTTACAAAATTTTATATACCAGTTTTCATATTTTTCTCTTATTACCTTCATGAACTTTTAAATTTAATTTAATAAATTTACCTTCTTTTCCCCTAGCCATTTTTACTTGTTGGCTCTTATTTAGTTCTTCTTATTTCTTTCAAAGTTATTGATTTTGCAATTTAAAATACTAATGATTTATATAATTGCAAGATCTTCTTCTTTTTTTCAAAATAGAAGTGGCTTTTTAAATTATAATAGTAATAGTAATACTTTAGATAGTATGAAAATATATCAAATTGCAGTACAATTCTGACAGTAAGTTATTACAGACTCCACAGGTTAAGAGCACAATCCCCAATGTGACTACACTCACTCAGATGCCAGCCACAAGTTCAGGGGTCCCCAGGCCACTCATACCTCTGACCAATTGAATACAAATGTGGGTGTTCTCACTAACCCCCAGGCTCAATAGTTCTTGAAAATGGCTCAGAAAACTCAGGAAAGCACCATACTTGTGATTAAAATTTTATTATAAAGGACATAAATCAAAACCAGCCAAAAGAAGAGACTTAACTGGGTGAGATCTAGGAAGGTCCCAAAAGCAGAGCTTCTGTGTCCTCTGCCCATGGAATCAGGGTGTGTCAACATCCTGGCACAGCAGTGTGTTCGCTAACCAGGAATCTCACCTAAGCCTCAGTGTCCTGAGTTTTTATTGGAGTTTCATTATGTGCATTTGACTTATATTCAATGTAAATAAATTTATATTCTAATTAAATAGTATTTATAATGACTGCATCATAGAGCAAAACCTTATATGAATAAGCTGAATTTTAAGTATTATGACTGATCGAATGAATAATTGATCACTTGATTGAACTTAGTCTCCAGACCTTCTTCCCTCCCTGAGAGTCAGGAGGTTGGGCCTATATCATGTGGCTCAAAGCTCCAACCCTCTAATTACATGGGGCCTACCGTGAGTCATTTCATTAGCATAAACTTAGGGGTAGTCCCAAGTGCCTACCATGAATAACAAAGATACTGCTATTACTTGGGAAATTCCAAGGGTTTATATTCTCCATCCTAGAAACTTAGACAAAGACCAGACAAATTCTTTATTATACAACTCTTTTTAAGTGGAAAATAAAAATCTCATAATTCCATTATTTAGAGTTAACTATTATTAACTTTTTAAATGTATAATTTAGGTTTGTGTATTTAAGTATTTTAGTTTAAAAAAGGGGGGATGATATACACACTGTCTAATAGCCTAATTGTTTTTTCTTATAGATTATATGAATATCATATCAATATTATCAACCATAACATTATATAGTATACTATTACATGGATGTGCTATATTTATTAGTTAAATTCTTATTCACTTTCCACTGTGAAAAAGGCTACTTCTTCGTTGAACATTACAATTAGAGCAGTTTTAGAACAGTAAATACATAATAGTTAGCCGTAAGTTAGTCTTGGATGTTATTATTGTTTATTGTTATTATTAAATAAAATTTTAGTACTACTAAAGAAATTAAAGTGAATCTTATCTAATTAAGACATTTAAAAGAAATGCCAACTTGGTTGAATGTTTTGTTATACATTTTTTTAAACTTCCTTTTAAAATTGTTTTATGATAAAAACACTAGACCCTAAAGCATAAACTGACAGAAATATAAGGCGTGGCAGAACAAGTCCATAATCATAGTAAGGATTTTAAATCTTTAAGTGACTGATAGATATAGAAGATATGATTTATGTGATTAACAACTTGATCTAACAGACATCTCTGAAACATTGAATCCATTTATTTAATAAATATCTAGCAAGCATCTACTATTGCCAGGCTCTACACCTGGGGTATATCAATGTATAATACAGTTGAAGACTTCTGTCCTTTTGGAACTTACATCCAGCAGGAGCAAGCAGACAATAAACACAGTATCTCAGTAGGTTAGGAGACAATTAGTGCTAGAGAAGAACAAAACAAAACAAAAGATCAGGATGAGAGATCTGGAGTGCTAGGGACAGTGGTGAAGTTGCAGTTTATTTTTAGTAGAGTATTCAAAGTAAGCCTCCCTAAGAGGTTGAGATTTGAACAAAGACTTGAAGGATGTGAACAAATAATCCATGCAATACAGGGAAAGTGTCTAGAGTAAAGAACTTGCCATTGCAGAGGTGGAAATGTGCTTGGGGAACAGCGAGGAAGCTAGATGCCTCTTATCTATTTCTGAGTAACAAACCATTGCAAAACTTGGTGACTCAAAACAATAACTTATTTAGATTATGATTTGGGAGAGAAGAGAACAGGCTTTCTGGTCTGGGCCTGCAGGGCTGATATCTACTGAACTTGTCTATTTGTCTCTAGCCAGCTGGTCGGTCTGCTAGCAGCATGGTCTAGTAGTTGGCAGCAGATGATAAACCTGTCTGGCAATTGGCAGTCTCTTCACCAGGTCAACAAGGCACATCTTACTTCTTCACTTGGCCATTCCCCAGAATAGCAAGAGAGCAAATCCCAACGTACAAATACTTTCCAAGTCTCTCTTGGATCATATTGGGTTGACCAAAAAGTGCCTTTGGTTTTTAAATAAGAATAAAAGACACATTTTTCATTTTCACCAAAACTTTATTGAACAACGTATTCACCCTTTTGTTCCACTACCTTCTGCCGTTTTTCAGGCAGCTTCATAATTCCATCTTCCTAAAACTTTTTATCTTTTTGAGCAAAGAACTATTCCAGATGTCTTTTACAGTCCTCCAGGGAATTGAAGTTCATTCCATTAAGAGAATTTTGTAAAGACTGAAATAAATGGAAATCTGAAGATGCAATGTCTGGCGAATATGGCAGATGAATCAGAACTTCCCAGCCAAGCCGTAACTGTTTTTTGCCTGGTCATCAAAGAAACATGCGGTCTTGCATTATCTTGATGGAAGATTATACATTTTCTGTTGACTAATTCTGGACGCTTTTCATCGAGTAATGCTTTCAGTTGGTCTAACTGGGAGCAGTACTTATTGGAATTAATCGTTTGGTTTTCCGGAAGGAGCTCATAATATAGGACTCCCTTCCAATCCTACCATATACACAACATCACCTTCTTTGGATGAAGACCGGCCTTTGGTGTGGTTGATGGTGGTTCATTTCACTTGCCCCATGATCTCTTCCATTCCACATTATTGTGCAGTATCCACTTTTTATCACCCGTCACAATTTGTTTTAAAAATGGAACGTTTTCATTACTTTTAAGTAGAGAATTGCATGTGGAAATATGGTCAAGGTTTTTTTCACTTATGTGGAACCCAAACATCAAAGCAATTCACATAACCAAGCTGGCGCAAATGATTTTCAGCGCTTGATTTGGATATTTTGAGTATGTTGGCTATCTCCCGCGTGGTGTAACATTGATTGTTCTCACTTAATGTCTCGATTTGATCGCTATCAACTTCAACTGGTCTACCTGACGGTGGAGGATCGCCCAGCAAGAAATCTCCAGCACGAAACTTCGCAAACCACGTTTGACATGTTCAATCAGTCACAGCACCTTCTCCATACACTGCACAAATCTTTTTTGTGTTCCGTTTTTACCTTTTCTGAAGTAAATAAAGCATAATATGCCAAAAATGTTGCTTTTTTCCTTCCATCTTCAATATTAAAACGGCTACACAAAAATTCACCAATTTTGATGTATTTTTTTAAATGCACACTGATACGACAGCTGTCACAATCTAATAAAATTGTTTCAAATGAAGTTAAAGACAACTAAGTGTTACTAGAGCCATCTTATGGAAAAAACTGAACGAACCTTTTAGCCAACCCAATTTTTGGTAATTTCTCATGGCAAAGCAAGTCACATGGTCAACCCAAATTCAAAGGATAGGGAAAAAGATACCCCTTTTGATGGGAAGATTTTCAACATCATGTTGCAAAGATGTGAATAAGAGAGGGAAGAATTTTGGACCACT